TCGTGGATTGATGAGCATCTCTGACTGAGAGTGATACGCGGAACAAGAAACTCCAATTAAGGCCGATTTTTATATTTATAAACTTCGTATGATCTACTAACAGCCTCGGCGTTTTGCGCAATCCCATTTGTTCACCTGGCATCCCAAACTATTCAATTGACAGTCTCCAATATACATACATCATGGACGGCAACTCAGCCCCATTATGACGCCCGGGTTGGGCCGTAAGTTTTCCACACTACATGGATGTTTATGTTTGGGCCCCAATTATCCGTTGAACGAAAAACCTTGCTTTTTTTCCTAGGCTGCCTTTCCAACTGACAGGTTTAGATGGACAGGTTTAGATGGACAGGTTTAGATGGACAGGTTTAGATGGACAGGTTTAGATGGACAGGTTTAGATGGACAGGTTTAGATGGACAGGTTTAGATGGACAGGTTTAGATGGACAGGTTTAGATGGACAGGTTTAGATGGACAGGTTTAGATGGACAGGATAATAGCCAATGAAAAGGCAAGGAGAGCTTCCTATGGGGTTGTAGGCTCATCGAAAATGAGCAGCCAATGGTAAAGACAGGTGTGGCTCAGGCCCCGTCGGGCAGCTACAAACCCCTCCCACGTGATATCAAACATCGCATCGCGTCATGTCTCTTGGTTCTCTCATCCTAGTAATGCGGATAAGGATAATGTGAATGTCTGCCAACATGGCCGAAAGCGTATCAGAGGCATTTTTGGTAAGTCCTGCTCCTCTGATTATACAAATGTAGCTAACATATCACCAGAAGAGCCGAGTGCAAGAACTTCAGATACCACCAGAGTATTTTATCGATGTCCGGAGGAAATCGATATCGTACATACGGATAGACGACAAAAAAGAGCAAACCTACCACCTCAGCGAATGCAGCACTATCTCATTTCACTCCAAAAGCGGCCATACGATTTGGACTACAAACAATGAAAATGGTGCATTCACAATCGTAGTACCCAAGGGTATCGGCGCACAAATTTTGTGGGGGAAAAAATTATCAGCCAAAGAAGCAGAGAAAATAAGATTGAAAGAAGAAGAAATGTTAAGAGACAGCGCTGACCCCAGAAGGTGATAGCTCTGCGGGACATGAATATAGCGTCTCCATTTCCTGATGCCACTCCCATGACAAGCACAAACGCAGTGTACCGCTGCTAAGATCGTTCGGCCGTACTTGCATTTGAATACCAGCCGTCACATCCCAGAGTTTTCCATTCTCCTCCCATGTTCGAAGTCGGCTTTTCTGCCATCTTTCGCGACCCGGGGGTTTGAAGATGGAATCAACACAGAGGGTTGAACCGGGAGATAGCACTATCTCAGCATCACTATTATCTTTCCCCGACAACTGGTTTTCATAGTCTGGGAATAAGTCCTGAAGGAATGTCTTGTCGAGCGCGATATCAAGCCACAACACCATATCGTCAAATGGGTCTTTCGGTACGACGGTTTGGACGCAATATGTCGTATTTGTTTTAATGGTGAACCCTCCTGTTCGTTCTTCCTCGATTCGTCTCGGGGAATTCATGATTCGGCGGCACAGCTTATCATGAAATATGCCATGAAGAGCTTGAATGTCCCCGGCTATGAAAGTCTGACGGGCTTCGGAAAGGATTGGCTCTGTTCTGAATGTTAGAGATAGTCAAACATCGCAATCATGAAACTCGTACTTTCAAATAGTATATTCATCCATTCCAGGAAAAGCGGATGCTGGCCAATTCCTTGTGCCCGGGCAACATCTTCAATCCTTTGTCTGTCATGTGAGGCTAAAGTGGTAGGGTATGAATGTTTTAGTGAGTTGAGAATGTTCTGGATGTTGCAAGTACTGCAAACTCTGATGCCAACGGCCAATATGAACTGAAGAAACACGTACGGCCGTTTGTAGAAAACGTCACGGTATTTGAGGTGGGCGGATTTGAGTCGAGATCGTTCGGTCCATTGTTTGGCTTTCAGTCCCTGCCCCCGACGTCCTGGCTGTCGACTCAAATCCCGCTCTTGAAAGGCAATAGGCAGTCGTTCTTCTAGCGCCGCCATATCCTGAGGCGTGAGATGTCCTTCTCTTGCAAGCCTTTGTGAGACCCAGTTGATATTATCTAGAGACATCGCTAATAAAGTGAACATGCAGGTACTTTCAATCACACAATAGGCGGTGTAGTGCAGGATGGGATCCGATGGACAGGATGAGATGGACAGGTCGAAGTGGACAGGATGAGATGGACAGGTCGAAGTGGACAGGATGAGATGGACAGGTCGAAGTGGACAGGATGAGATGGACGGGTCGAAGTGGACAGGATGAGATGGACAGGGCGAAGTGGACAGGATAATCGGAAGGCTGAAATTTACCTCAAGGCACTCAGACCCACAACAGCCGAATAGACGCCGGCTCAAGCGCACGTGATTCTGCGTGTGCCTGAGGTAATGCAACATCGGCTGTGAGCCATCGTCAACTTGGAAATCTTGAAGGAGCGAGAACGAATTTTTGAACAACAAGCAATTCAAGGAACTCTACCTCCCGTCCGTGATCCAAATGAACTTCGGTGAGCCATAGCATCTTCCCCTGCGGTGCTTTGACCTCTCCAGAAGTCTCGTTGTGACCACGGGCGGGAGAGGATCGCGAAATTCACGGGCGTGCCCATGTCACGAAAACCACGAAAACCACGCACCTGCTGACAACTGCGACTTCGGCTGGCAATAACACACCTCCTATAGTGCGAGGATGAAGCCCAAACATTTTCAGTAACCATTGTCCAAACAAACAGCAAAAAAAAAAAAACACACATGGCCACATATGGGTCCTCAGTGCTTCGTCCCGCAGCCCATTCAACGTTTGCGACGTCCCACTACGCCGACATGGTGGACAGAACAGTATCTCCTCCCGCGCAACCACCAGACACCTGGCATGCCATACACAAAGGCCACACAGCACTACGGATTCCAGACAGACAGAATTACCCACTGTCGGCCCCCCCTCCCCCAAAAATCTAGTGACGGAGGATTAGTCGACCTCCGCGACTCAGCTAGCCAGGTCTAAGGAGGCCGCAAGGGAGCTCCCATACTCAGTAATCCACCATGTCGAAACGAGCGGAGTATTGCACTACAGGAGGCAGTTGATGACGGCTATGGTCAACATCGCCAGTGGTTGTATTCACGGAACAAACACATGGCCACATAGGAACCCGGTCGGAGGCAACAACAATAGAGACACACAGAACTCAGAGCACGAACAGAACCCTAGGGGCATGGAGAAGATCAACAAACAGATGAAGCCGATGGTTGGGGGCAGACTGCAGGTATCACGATCGCATACATGGTGTCCTCTGGCATCGACAGAGCCACAACATAAGAACATGAAGCAGAAAATTCTGGAAGACATAGGGAAAATTTGAGGAACGAAAGAGACTGGGCAGTGTATGGGATTCTCCAACAGAAGACATGTAAATAGCAAAACAGAGTACGGAGTAGAGAGTAAGAAACCTTGGGACAGCTGGCCTCGTTTCAACGATGAGGCGAATTGGGGTGTCCACAAGATGGGCGCTTCGGCTGTCAGCCAGGACCTGCACACCGGGCATGGCTGCTGGGAAATGGCGGCTAAAACCGAGTAGGAATAGAACCTAAACCTGAACCTGGAAGCAAGGTTAATGAGAAAGTGGTCTTTCTGAGTCTGCCTTGAAGCTTTGAGATCGCACTGGGTCGAGTACACGTGTTAGCATAAATACAGTTGATCCGCTTAAACAGAATTTTGCGGGCCACAACCAGTGAGCTTTCTGAGCAAACCCGAGAAAAGGAGCGGAGAAGAACAAAGTGCGGTCCAGCCGTAACACATGATACAACCGATGAAGGGCGTTGGGATGACACGAGAAAACAGCCCAAGAGGGAACTCGACTGGGTGGCAAGTTCCTTGTAGTATTGTGTTCATCGGAATACTTGAACGTCGGCAAATCAAGGCTGAGTCCCTTCATTCGACGTTGTTAATGGAGCTGCATTATATATCGAGCCGATACGTAATAGTGATAAATTGGAATCTTTGGGGCAGGTCGTTGAATAAGCTTAGCCCAGGGATGGTTGCTGGGCTGCTGCCGTTCTTTACAGGCGCCTGCGATGTTCGTCGTTAGGATACACAACGTGCTTGTGAGAATGATGGCGAGGAAAACTTACAGCAGATATTATCACCCCTTAAGTAAGGTCAGGTGTCAGTCCTTGGGTTGGCAGTCGAAAAGGCAAGAAAGTCTAAGAAGCCCTTGACCGTGAAACTCACCAGTACTGTTTGCTGACGATGGTCGGTGGACTTTGAGCACCAAGACTCAACAATGCAGTAATGGTGCTGGCAACTGAACTCTTTCTGGTGGGGTCAATGTCAGCATTATCTGAAATCGAAGTGCACAATGCAAATGCTAGTACAGGGAACCCACCTAACTATAATTACACATGCTGCTCCTGGATTTGGGTACCTGAAATATCGATCGAATGAAGAGAAAAAGTGAGGCAGTCTGCATTTGACTTGGAGATGGAGATGACAGAGCTACATGAAAGGCTGAACGGGGAGTTATTTGAAGGCCAGGCCTTGTGCCGGGGCAATCTTGGGAGTGCATGCATATGGGATCGCCTTTACTTCCCCACTTCATCGACCATGGGTCATTCACACACGCATGGTGGCATATCTCTATTTTGCGTGCTGAGTGGTTTACAAAGTGATGGGACTCTGTTTAGATCTACACAATGAGTGGCAGCTTGACACCATTGGCCTTACGGTCATTCGGCTGATAGGTCTTTGCTCTTGGGAGACCATGCGTCTTGCCATTCCGCATGAAGTTATTTTTTCTGCAATCTACCGCACTACCTTTGTGGTTAGTGCTGTTTGCTCTGTGGAATGCAGGATGACGCTTTGTAGCGGCACCAAGCTGGTGTGTGTTGACGTGGCGGTAAAGGGAGGACCTTGCTGCTTTGCGAGCCGAAGTGCAATCCTGAGGAGACCATTCCGGTCTCGATTTGGTAGCTCACAACTGCTAGGGCTGACCTTCGCAATGTTACGTGCTGAAGCATTGAAGTGTACAGTCCACCGACGATACATCATTTTCCGGTTTGCGAGGCAAGGGCTTGCGAGCCGTTCTCGACATCCCTGACCTGGACGATTGCAGTGCTCAAATTTGTGGCTTTTCAAGCCGCTCCACTCTGGAGGTCTACAAATTTACATGCTGTATTTTGCATCCCCTTAACTAACGGATCCATAAAAGAACAACACATTTATATCGATCCGGGCCAGATTCGGGGCCGCGATTTCCTAGAAGAATAGTATTGAAGTTGGGTGTGTGCTTATCCGAGTGACTTCGATACATGTCACCATAGTGATATCACGCTGCGATGGCCAACATGGAATAGTGCACAATCGCCCCTGTATTTCACCCAAATTCTGTGTCTGGCGGTACACTGTACAACCAAGGAGGGAAACAAATCAACGCAGTCCATATCGCGTCATGGTACTCACCGGACGCTCCGCTTCTCCGTATTCCACGAGCTTGAGGACCGTTTCGTCAGCGATAACCAAGCGTAGGACTAGAAGATTGAATTGTAGGGGCGCCGGTTCACAACAACTGCCATAAACCAGGTACAGAAACGTAAGAAGCTCCAGCAGAACCTGCTTTGGGGAAAGTCCACTTCGTATAATCTGCCCTCTCTGGTCTACACAAAAGTCGTTGACAAACCCGCATGCGGTGACATTGACTAACCCCAGGCATTCAGCGCTCTGCCGTTCATTGGCTATGGACCGCCAAGCGAAGGACTGGGGAGACGGCTTCTACACTAAGCTTGCGTCTCGTCTCGCCTCAGTAGCTCCGCGCTCCTACGTATCGAGACCAATCCTTCCGTAATCTTGGAAGGAGCCGGGGTGGCTCTGGCCTCGCCAGGAAAATAAAACAAACGGGTTGCCCTGTGTGCGGAGTACCGGTGCCACGGTTTAGTGTACCATTCGCTTATTCTCCACCTACCCCTGCATCGAAAAATTGGACTGCATCCACAGGGGCCTGAATAGCCCCAAGATGACACAGCCTTTTTGAGGGCCAGGCGGAACGGTGAAGCCAATTACCGTGATGGAATTACACATACCTGCATGTGCGGAACAATGGAGCTCACAAAACGGCTACTAGTAATGCAGCCTCATTCGAGCAGATCCTTTCCTGTCACATTCGGGAGTCTCTGTAGCCGGGCGATTCAAAGGATGGTGTCGGACAAGATCGGCGGTATGCATCATTGCTTTGTTGACAAATACAGATGACCGGCGAAGCCTCTTGCCTGAGAAGAATGGAACAACCGGGGAGGCGAGCCGGAATGACTAAATCACTTCAGACTTGGAAAACGAAGATGACTATGGAGCTGGCACATGCACACAGACTGATTCGCGTAGCCTCAGAGGGAACATAGCCGCTGCAGTTGACGCACTTGATGTGATGTAATGGGCACAGAGCGGAGTCACTCAGTCTAGGGCAATTTGCATCAAGCCACTCGGAGCGAGCTACTTTTCTGCGTCACTAGGTTGAGCAGAACCGGCGTTATAAATCGTTTGCTTGAACAGGGATTTGACGGTGATCGCGGCTTGTTGCTATGGCCGCGAACCCATTTGTAAGCTTAGAGGCTGCTATCGAATCGTGGGCCTTGCGTACCAAGGAATCATGCCGCGATTATGGCATGACAGACATGGCCGGCTGGCCCATCGTCTGTCATTTTATCTCGCTCAGCCTACCTAAGAAGGGCTAGTTCCAAAAGTGAGATTGAGTTGCTATGCGATGTTAGTATTACACATGGGAGTACCGTAGTTGTCTTGGCTGGACAAAGCTATCATTCTTACGTGACAACCTGCTCCGCGAGTTTGTATCAGTGCGGGGACAGTAAGCTGTGTCGACAACATAGTGGTGTGTCACAGGAAATGAAGCAGCGTACAAGAATCAGCACCTACTTGTCATGGGTCACGGCCAGCGCGGTCATCTCCCTCTGTTGGTAGTTGACGTGAGTATCCTACCGTCATCTGCTGCGGAAAGACTGATGCGGAGCAGAAGTTCGTCTCACCGCAGCCAACAGCACCACCGAACAAGCAGGCCATACTTGCCCCCGCTGGCGGCCTTGCCTTATTTCTCAGTCTGCACGTGCGGTTCTCGCAAGATAGACGCAGTCTTGCCTTGCCCGCTTGTGAGTTGTTGCAATGATGGCAGCGCGTGGGGAATGTCGGTTATGTGTGGCGTCTGCATGACGTCTGTGCCTCCTCGCCGTGCAGCCTCGATGAGCAGGCTGCATTGCCCACGTCGCTCAGCCGCCAGGTACGGGAACCGCCGATGTGATCTGCGGGACAACAGATGGAGGGGGGTATGCATATAAACGGCAGAGGGTGTGTAGGGCGAAGGTATGGAGCAATGAATGGACCTGACCACACGGGGTAATTGAACAAGGCTGGGGTGGTCCTAGCCCATGATGTATCGTTGTAACTTAGGCTGTAGAGTTTGCTCTTCTCCCCCAAAACGTTGTCGAGGGGATTGCGTGCCTGGGGTAGCGATCATTGTCACAGATTGGCCCGCATATTGGTAGGCGGACACAGGCTCGCGGCTGGCATGAGCAGGTCCACGCGGCATTTCATGGCATGTCCAAGCGGCAACTCATGGCAAGAGAGTGTGCACTCCGCTGCGTCGCCCAAAGACCCTTATGCAGCCATAGAGAGATATCCAAGACAAAGCATTGTGAACTATGTCATGTACGGATTACGGGAGATACAGTCCTCAGATTGAGCATGCGTCGGGGCGCAAATCGGCAATCATTGTGCTGCTGGAATTGAGGTTTCAATGTGCAAACAACTAATTATCATGAGGAGAAAAGTCTTGCCTGAGCCTGCGCATCATCTTCTGCTTGCTGCCACACCTGCCTTGTACCACGTCTGCTGGCTTCCTGTTAGATTCTCAGTGACTACAAAATATGAAGGCTGGCCAACCACCGGAATAATTTCAGATGGTTGGAGAGTAACATAAAAAGGACCCCAATTCTTCAAGTTAAACAAAAAGAGAAAAAAAAAAAAAACAATAATACACCACAATAATTTATCATCACAATAATTTATCTCCATAATAGTGCCACCGTATTTCTGTCACTTCCTTGGGATCGCGATCAATAGGCCACTTGACCTCCGCTTCTACACGTCGATCTTGTGCGGTATCCCAATCGATATGGGCCATCGTCTCTTCTCTAGTCCATTCCCGTCTTTTACCTCCAGATGATACACAGTACTGGCCCATTTGCTTGTAATCTCGACACCATATATACAAGTCTTTCTGTAATGGTAGTGGAAGTCCCATGGCTCTGCGATATGCCTGATTTGTCTTCAAACTGCCTCTGGGTTGGCTGTCATACCAGGTCTACCTTGCTAAAATGTAGCATCTATACATCGACTCGGGAGCATGTTGGTGTTAAGTAGGCTGTGAGGGGGCGTGAAAGAAGTATCATGCCCGAAACATATCTGCCATGTATCAGGGCCAGCGCGCCTAGCTTCATCTGTTGCTAATTGGTTATTTGGTCGCAGCCTACGCACAGGCCACAGCGCGCTGTCGACTTCTTCTCAACTAACAACACCACCGAGTAAGTTACCTCTGTACGCGGTCTCTTGCCGCCTGAGCCTTATTTCTCTGCCTGCCGGGAACATGCCCGTGAGCTTGTCGCAGAATAGAGTGTGTATATCGACTGGGATGTTGGTTTTCCCGCTTCTGCCACTTGCAGCACTGGCGGCACTTGGTGGTAAAAATTGGCTTCTTGTGCAGTGCCTGCATGGTGTATGAGCCACCTGGCCGTGCAGTTCTCTGTTGCAGTCGGATGCAATTCCAAGGTCGCACAACCGTCAGGAACGGAAACATGCTGGTTCTGTGCATATGGACCAAAGTGGAAAGCAGCGAGCAATACGCGGGCTACGAGGGGCAATGGAACAAAGCGGGTGAAACCCGGCCCGCGGAGAAAAGACGAAAAAGACGAATCCTTGTGATCATGATCGCAGGGGAGTAGCCTGTTATTCCAGGCTGTAGAGTTCACTCTCTCCCGCAAAGCCTTGCCGACGGGATTGTGTACCCTGGTGATGACCAAGGTCACGAATCGCCCACACATTAACTGTTTCCAGTTGATAATTGGACGCAAGCTCACAGCTGGCGCCCAAGTCCACGCGCCAACCCCTGGCAGGCAAGTGCCCACCACTCCAGGCCATGCCACAGACCACTTAGCAGCCATCGGCTGCATCGGGGACTGGTACTGCGAACTATGTCATGTGCGAATGATGCAGCTCTCAGATCAAGCAGGAGCTGATGCCGAGATTAGCAATTATTGGATTGATCAATTGTTGCCAGAAATAAGTAGGTCTTGTGGTCGGGTCAAAGAGGAATAAGCCTTGTCTCTTCCCGAGTACGTGCAGCTGGAACACACCGTGGATTGAGGTAGACATGACTTGAAAGTAGGCCACGGTGATGCAGTTTACCTGAACTCGTATGACAGATTGAGGACACGGGCTGCATTGAGGATACGGGCTGCATTGAGCCACCATGCAAGGCACACCAAAGCCAAATATTGCGAAAGCTACCCTTCCACGGGCAGTCTAGCCGGATAAGGCTGAATGGCGAAGTAGCAGGACTTGGTCATATCAAGGCAATATTGGCGTAAACATCAGCCAAGAGCCAGCGGAACAAGGAATGACGCTTTGGCGGCGTGATTTCCCATTTATTCTCGGGTATGGCTGATCCGAGTCGAGCTCGGTAAAGGTGTAAACTTGGCTTCTTTGAGGTCAGGCTCTACTCTTCTCCTCGGCTGCTACATTTTAATAGACAGTCCTCCCATAAAGCCAACGAACTCCCGGCAGTGCCTGTGCCTTTATTTCGCTTTCTCAGCTGACCCTCGCTGTCAGTCGTTCGCCATTTTATCGCTTTTTGCTAATCCCGTCCCAACTTCATCGCGATGATGCCCGTCCAGCTTCTCCCGGCTTCAGCCGCCGCCTTTGCCCCGAGGGCATCTTCAGTCGACGTTGTTTTGGGATGCAAGGTTGAGCCTTGGCTTACACAGACCTTGAAGCGAGTCAACAGAGATACAGGCCGTCTCAAAAACGTCCCTCAACATCAAAGATGTCTTGTCGAGATATTGTCGTCACCGAATGCCATCTGGACTCTCGCCTCCCTCATGTTACCCAAGTTTCCCGAAGCCGAGATGCCCCAGGAACCTCTTCAGAAGCTCTTCAGCTATCAGCTCGTTCACGTCGAAGCATACGTTGTTCATGTTGATATGGTCCTGCGCAACGAAGTTGCCTACAAACTCACAGACGGCACCATCGATGCCTTAGTCGAGTATCACGAGAAGATTCACAGCGTCGATGCAAAGGCGAACACCCATGACTGGTCCGAGAAAGAGCAACATAGCAAGAAGTTCCATGAAGATGACTGGTCCGAGAAAGAGCAACAGAGCAAGAAGCTCCATGAAGGCTTTGTCCAGGCTGTCAACAAGTTTGTCTACCGCACGCCCGTTAGCGCTTTGGAAGGTCTTGAGGATGAGGGCACAGGTGAACTGTTGTGTGGCAAGAGTGAAGAAGTCAAGAACAATCTTTTTGGACTGATGAAGCCTCTGCTACCCCCACCTCCTCGCGTTGTCGATGTTGTACGTCAGCCTCCGCTGCTCCAAAGCTCTCCAGTCAACAACATGTGGTCACAGCCCACAATGCACAGCTCTGTGCCCGCAGTCGAACTCTGGCGAGTGCTGCCCTCAAGTCCAAGTGTGACATCGATGTCAGCCGAGTTCGACACTGCAGTTTGGGCTACCACGGGCATGAGCGAAGTTCAGATATCTTCACCTACTCCGGCATACACCCTCCCACTGCCAAGCATGCTTGCGTCCTCACAATGCGGTGTAAGCGTTGGCATGCGGCATGAGTGGCATGAGTAGCTTCGGCTGGGATCGCTAC